GTCTGCACACACACACAGACACACACACACACAGGATTACAGTTACTGTTTGTTTTTATCTCATTACAATGACAGGAGCATGGCAACCCCCGGAGAGGAGCTGGATAATAGTGGTGTTTTGTTGTTCTTTTTTTTTTCTGTCCACTAATGGTCCAGGTTGCCCCTCTCCTTCATATGATCCCTGCAGTTTGTCTGCATACAGTTGCCTCCGGGAAGATATCAGAGACCTTTGTTGCTGCTGTAGATGATCCAATACAATGAAATCACGTCGCAGTTGGTTTTTGTCAAAGTCAGTCATCTGCAGTTGTGGGGAAGTAGACGTAAGTACACTGTTTACCGTAAAGTGTAAATGTGCTTTAATTGAGTACATTCAGTTTAGTTTATAAAATATGATGCGTTACAGTAAAAGTATAGTTGACATTGGTGCCATAACATGTTACATGAAAATGCAACAGAAATCAATATTTGAAAAAACACACACATCCACACACTGTACTGAAAGCTGTGTACAGATATCGTTTGTCTGACATTTTATCCTTCAGAAATATCAAGAAGAAATAGACACAAATATTACATATTATCCAGTGGCTTCAATAATACCAGTATTCACTTTTAAAAACTCTTACAGGACTAAAGTGTTGCTGGTATGTACGCAGCACAAGGGCAGCTTCCAAAAACAAGATGAGTTAATAAAGACTGGAGGCTCAGGAGGCTACACTGGTTGGATCAGGGGATACAACTTCATAACTCTGCTACAATATTAACAGTGGTGGAAAGTAAGTAAATGTACTTAAGTTCTGTACTTACTAGGATGTACATGTATTTTGCATTTCCTTCTTCATAAATCGTCTGCTCCAGTTCATTTCAGAGGGAAACTTTGTTCCCTTTTACAGCTATAGTTACTTTTATCCAACTACCCAACAGTATAGCTGTTAAAAATAGCTCCACCTCAACCAACTAAAATATTAAAGTACTGCTTAAACCAATAATATAAAAATATATTCTATACATTCTGATATCTTTATGTACTTTTGGTTGCTAATACTTCCTTCTTCTTGTACTTTTACTTAATGTAACGGTGTTTCTAATGTCTCATTTCCACTTTTACTTAAAGGACCAGTGTGTAGGATTTAGTGGAATCTAGCAGTAAAGTTTCAGATTCCAACTCACACTGCTCACGTCGGTATTTGACGACCTGGGAATGAGAACAGCCTGTGAAGTGTGTAGTGTGTATTGGCCGACCCTATCTATTAGTCAGTGTTTGGTTTGTCTATTCTGGGCCACTGTAGAAACATGGCGGAGTCCACGAAAGAAGGTACAGTAACAAAAATTGCAATGATTTTTATTTTCAGGTAATTATACACTAATAAAAACATACCTATGAATAAATGTTACACACTAGACCTTTAGGTAAATAATCTAAATACTTCTTTGACCACTGAATGTAAAGAAATCTATCTCTATAACTCAAACCCTGAGGCTGCTACAACCCAGGTAAAAGATACCACTCCGTCCTGGTGATTTGTCGGTGGCGGTACGGATGGAGATGAATGAGCTGGGCGAACAGATATGAACAAAAGTTAACTACCATTATCAATTTCTCATCTTTGCCTTTGCCTCCTTCTTGTTCTGCTTGTTCCCTCTTCTCCGTCTTCTCTTTGCACGCTCAGATATTCTGTTTGAAGGTAAGATTTACTCCAGGAGGTGGAAACTGACCCACATGTTCTCCATCAACTTAACTTCAAACGCCGGGGAAGATCACTCAGCGACGTGTACGTACAATCCATTCAGTTTTTCTCTGTGCTCGACTGCTCCTAATGACTCTCGCAGACTCTGAAGCATGTACAGTGTACAGCTTGTGAATAGAAACAAGAGATTCTTTTTGATATCAGAGGATGAACAGGTGTGCAGACATCCCCCAAACTTTAATCAGTCTTCCTTTGTTGTGAAGTGCCGTGCGGTGTTGACAGAGCTGTTTGGAGCTCAACCTGCATGACTGCCTTACAAGTTGCCTGCCAAGTTGCCACGGGTTATGGAGCTCTCTGTGGCATGAAGTTGCACCCTGTAGCTATTACTGATATCAGCCACCTTGGCAGGAGAAATTACGCCTGCAGTTCAGTTCTGACTTGCCAGCGAGGAAACTGCGATGAGAAACTGTGAGTTTTGATACGCATGAAAACCTGTGTACACATCTTCAAGAGACCTGAAAATATGTGTTTTAATTCCGGAAATAGCGGAGGATTTAATCTCTTGTCAATGTGGATTCAAAGGAGGTTTTTTTTGTTATCTCACACTTATTCATACACGCCTTCTATTTGTTTATTTTTAGAGGTTTTGGTTCCTGGATGTCTTTTTGTTTGTGATCTGTTTCCAGGGTTGCCAAGCAAAGTTGTCTGCTTCAATGTTATGCTATTCTTTGACACATGTTTGTGGTATTATAGTACATAGTAGGTGGATTTATGTACACAAAGACTTCCTGAATAACACAAATAATGTGCTCAATGCTTCATCCCATCACCACTCCCTCCTTTCTTCTTCCTTTCTTCCTTTATATTTGCCATGCTAGCTGCATATCGAGGGATGGCAATGTTGGTTTGTCAGTCCATCACCTGAGATATTTTAACAGCTACTGGATGTTTTACCATCATATACATTTTGTACCAACATAATCCCCAGAGGATGAATTCTACTGACTCGTGATTGCCTGACTATCCCATTAATGCCACCATGAGATTGACATTTGTGGTTTTCACTGACATATCTCATCAACTATTGGACGGATTGCCATAAAATTTGGTACAGTTTTCCACGTCTCCTCAAGGATATATTGTAGCCTAATAACCTTTGTAATCCCCTGACTTTTCATCTGCCACGATCATCATGTCAAAAGTTCAATTTGTCCAATACTTTGGTTTATGAGATAATGTCTGTATTTTCTGCTAATTATCAAATGTTATCATGATAGTAAAGATTATAGCTACTTACAAAACATCAGCATGTTAGCATTGTTACTGAGCATGTTAGCACTCCGATGTTAGCATTTATCTGTGATTGCGTACGGCCTCACAGAGCGGCGAACCAACACTTATTGAACTATTAAACGCAAGATGTTATGAAAGGCCATTTTAAATATATATTAGACCATCTTTCAGCAAGTATAAATGTTCATTCATATTAATTTGATTAGTTTAGACTGCAGACTAACACACCTGACTTTTGTATCTTGCACCATGGGGTTGACATTTGGTGGTATTCAGTTAAATATTTCAGTGAAACGGTTGGATGGATGACTATAAAATGTAGGACTCACATTCATGTCCCCCACAGAACTACAAACTCTGGTAAACTCCTAACTTTTCAAATGCTGTAGGCATTTCCATCAGCTTCAGCTGAACAGACACTAAATGGGAAGGTGAACATGGTGAACATTATACCTGCTAAATATGTTAGTGTGCTCATTGTGAGCAGATAGCACGCTGTTAACATATAGCCTGGCGCATTGTATGCATGGCTGAACTTGTAGTCTTGTTAGTCATTTGTAGCCTTCCTTTATTTCTTTCTGTCTTTCTTTCTTTCCACTTTCTCTGTCCACTCTTCTCATAAATCCTCCCTCTCCTTGTCAGCTCTCCTCCCCTTGCTAACACTTTGTCACATTGCTCTTCTCCACCCTCACTCCTTTTCCCCCTCACTTATCACTGCATACACACTCTCCCTCTACCTGTCTCTTCTATCTTGCTTTATCACTTTCTCCCACTCCCTCCCTCCATTTCCCCTTGATTTTAACATCTTGCTGCTACATTCATGTTTTGGGCCTCTCTGAAACTATCCGCTCCTCGCCGGCTCCCTCCACTGTTATCCATCATCCTC